TTTGGGAAGGTATTCTATTCAGTGTCTCTAAGTTTCTGGTAGCAATTGTTCTTAAAAATTCTGATTTATAAAATGTTATTAGTTAAAATGTTTTATACTGATCAGGGTCACTGTTAGCAAGTTCAGGGCAAAGAGTATACCAGATACAGCTATGTTGGAGAAGGTTCAGAGAAGAGCCACTAGGATGATGCCTGGGATGGATTGGATTGTCCTATGAGAAGAGTCTAAAATCTCTAAACTTGTTTTCTCTGGAGAGAAGAAGGGTCAGAGGGGATTTGATTGAGGTGTCTAAGGTTATTAATGGTATTGATAATATAGATCCATCAAACGTTTTGTGTTTAGCAGTGAAATCAATAGGACAAGGGGTCAAAAGTTCAAATTTTGGCAGCGTAGGAGTCGTCTCCAGTTTAGACAGTTTTGCTTTTCAAACAGGGTGGTTGGCTTTTGAAATTAGCTGCCTTCAAGGGTGGTGTAGGCAGAAAATTTCACTGAGTTCAAGAAAAGATTGATGAATACATGAGTAGTGAGGGGTGATTATAGTTGGGAGCTGGAAGGGATATCCTTGATGGGCCCTTTGAAATTTTCTGAAATTCATGAAAGTAAAATATGATGCATAGACGTAATGCAGTCTCAAGTGTAAAGGGGATTATGCTTTATTCATCACAAAATCTTGTCATCTGGGTAGAGGTCTGGTATTTTCTAAACAAAAGGTCAATCGAAATTTAACAAATCGAATTTCATTAACAAAATCTAATGCAAACGTAACATTAAAAAATTCAAGCATATTTGGAATGAATTAGAGTAGATATGTTAACAACATATGCCACGAAAAATATCAGTCTTTATCTAAACTAATTGAATGTATTACAAGGGATTAAATTCAGACCGCTGTGTGTCGCAATAATACCCACTACGCCATTTTGTGCAAGAGAAATAGTATTTTTATTCAGATATTTCAGGAACAACAATACTAGAAATTTCGATAATAAGTGGATAATTTAACTTGAACTAAGAGGAAGCCGTATTTTGATGGTTTTAATCTATAAATTGTGATTTGCGAATGCAGAAATAAATTAAAACAACTTTTCAGTGCTTCATTTATTGGCCCGGCATGGCCAGGTGGTTAAGGTGCTCGACTCGCAATCTGAGGGTCGCGGGTTCGAATCCCCGTCACACCAAACATGCTGGTCCTTTCAGCCGTGGGGGCGTTATATGTAGCCCAAGAGTTGGTGATGACTAGCTGCCTTCCCTCTAATCTTACACTGCTAAATTAGGGACGGCTAGCGCAGATAGCCCTCGTGTAGCTTTGCGCGAAATTCAAAAACAAACAAGCTTCATTTATCAATTTTGTTTCCTGTTGGCGAATCTATTTAGTCTGTACTTCGCTGTCCCTAATTTTGAACTGCTAGACAAAGAAAAAATAGTCAGTCGGCAGCATCCACCGCCAATTCTTTTATTAACGAATAGTGGGATTAACCGTAATAATATAACACTTTCTTCCACAGTTAAAAGAGCGGCCATGTTCGACCCCGCGACCTGCAGGTTGCGAGTCGATTACCCAAACCATTTTGCAAGCCATGCGAGACCTCATTTATTAAATGAAATTATCCCGAACTAATTCAACTCATTAACCCACAGAAAATGAATTAACAATTGAAATAAAAGAACAAACATGGCGTGAATACACACACTGTTAAATAGTTACAGATAACAAACAAATGTTGGATTTTGATTTTCTGACGGGAAGAACATTTTCTGTAATAAGTGTACCAAAAACTTTGTTCGAGAACTATAACAATTCCCGCATATAATATCTGAATGATGACCAATAAACTGACTGATAATGGAACGGCATATTAAAATTTTGTTTTTAGAAGTAAAAAAAAAATTTTTTAGTTATCTGATATAAAATAAAATGCCCCACTCCCAATGGATCAGTAGTTCGCTTATAACGCTTCATACCGGATTTCGATACCCGTGGTGGGCACAACGCAGATAGCCCATTGTGTAGCGCTTTAGAAGAAATAAACAAAATTTCAACTACAATCTTTGCAAAACACGTATACGTTACTTTCACAGAACAAGGAAAATATGTTATTTGCAAACATTTTCATTTAGTGTTCGCTTTGGTTTCATAAAATCACAATATTTTAACTTTCCAGTTTCAGAAGCTTGAAATGAGGTTGTCTCGTAGCTTTTAAATGATCAATAACAATAATATGATCTCGTCATATATCTATATATATATATATCCCTCTTAGCGATGCCCACCAATCATCCCAAGCTTTTGTAATCTTGTCACATATATATATATATCTTTCTTAGCGATGACCATCAATCATCCCAAGCTTTTGTAATCTTGTCACATATATATATATATATCCTTCTTAGCGATGACCACCATCATCACAAGCTTTTGCAATCTCGTCATATATAT